CCATGTCCAAATAAAACTCGTCATTTTGTAATTCTAATCTCTCAAGATTTGTTTAGTGGTGGTTATGGTTCCGACACCAGATCCAAAAGTAAAATGGCTATTCTTTCGACATACATGCGCACCCAGTGGGCACCGGACCAAAAAAAGACGTCTTTTGAACGTTTAAAAGACGTTTAAAACTTTCAAAAGACGTTCAAAAGACCAACAAAACGTATATAAGACGTTAAAAATACGTCTTTTTTACGTCCGTGCCCACTGGGCAGTATTCATACGCATGTTTGCTAATCAAATATTTTAGCAAAAATAATAAAATAAGATTATTATTATTATTTTAAAACAAAGTCATTATTTATACGCGCCTTAAAATAAGCTTTACATAATAGAACTCTTATTTGTACGCAAAATATCTTATATACTTTAATTTTTCATAGGGTAACTTTACATAATTTCGGCCATCACTTAATCTTGCCCACCGTCTTTAATTGCTCATATGTCAGTTAACTCACACGCTGCACCATTAAAAAGACGTTCTTTTATAGTAGCAAACCAGTCTTATCAACATCTTTGACCTCAAAAGAATTGCAAATAAAAGAGTAACTCTTAAGAAAGTTTGTTGGTTTTTGATAATTTTTTTGCTACTTAATTTGACAAATTCAAACCAGCTGATGCAAATCTACCAAGTTAATTATTTATTATTCATATTAAACTATAATTTAATTTTGTTCTCCACTGTTTAATCTCTGATTGTAATGACATTTATAATCGTTTGAAATGGTAGAGTATGTATAAAATTGTTTTCTGGCCATCTCGCCCACAGAATAAATATTTTTTCACCCAATGCATTTAATCTCGCCCGGGTGGGCGAGAATAGATGCGGCATAAGATATTAAGACTTACATTACCAGCAGTTTTAACAAAAAAAAACCTTACGCTGTGACCCCCATTATTTTTTCTTTAAATTGGAATGACATATTTAAAAAACAATTGAAAAACGCAATCATAAAATTTCGTAAGGATACATATTAAGAGCATAATCTTTTTGAATGCTTACAAAGGAGTATTTTTTATGTATTTTTATTCTATATATTATTGAGGAAATTATTTTATAAATTAATTACCCTTAATTCAACATCCTTGGGATTATCGTAAAAATGAACCCCAAACTTATTTGATAACTGCTTTGACAAAAATTGATGATATCCACGTTAATTTATTTTTGATTGCCTTCAAAACAATACTCTTCCTCTGTGTATTGTTTTTAAGAAAATTAATTAAAAAATAAATTGTTATGGCTCTGCGTTGAGGGATTGTATAAAAAGTTCATTGAAATCAAATAAATTAGCTAGATAAAGAACAAAGAAAGTATTGCAAATAAGTAAACTTTGTCTGCTATTGCATTTTTTTTTCCTAATAATTATTGGTAAGAAAGAAATTTTATCTTTTTATGCTATGTTTTTTTTTTTTTTAATAATTTTTTAGTGTTTAGAAATAATGCATATTTTATTTACGATTGTTTTATTTATTTACAATTTAAGAACTATTGTTTTAGTTATTAAAATAACTAAAACATTAGGTCCAAAACGTTAGGTTCAAAAGGTCCAACCTCATTTTATGCATACTAAGAATGTTTTTATTCTTCTATAATAGACTTTTCTAATTACTTAGCTAAATGCTTATTTATTTCATTGTAAATTAAGTATTGCGAAGTTCTAGGGTTGGGATTAGGTTACAAATACTAACATATCGTTTTCACCACGTGTATATTTGTAGCTCTGGTAAATTTGGAGAACTTTATTAAATTAATATGACATTTATACTGCAATATAATTTATCTAGATATTGTCTAAAAAAACATGGTTAAAACAAGAGTTGGTGGATGTAGATCATCACCAAGATTTCACCCGATGTCGGTTGGAAAAATTGCTTCTGTAACAAAGGCTACTATGTGTTATAACACAACTCATCTTCATGATGGTATAACTCCTTTAACATCTGGTAGTAGTACTCTTGACATTTGTCAAATGAAACAGCTACCAACAATTGATATTTCTTTAATTCGTGTCAATGGTTCCTCTGGTTCCAATGGTTGCTCGAGAAGAAAAACATATCAGTTATGCCAGCAACAGAGCAAAGTTAGGTCTAGGTTTTGGAAATTTACAGTTCCTGAATTATGCTGGGAAACTTGCCGCAAAACATAAATTCAACTTCAAGAAAGAGCTTCCAAGCAACCAGTGGTGGACTAGGGTTAAACACCCCAGGTTATAGTGAAGGGAAAGTTATCCAGGTCTTGGGGTTTTAACACTGAGTTTGCGCCTCCGGGAACAATTTCGAACTGGTCCGATAGTGGTTGAACTAAACAGGGTCTAGCAAAACTATGGTTTAGCAAGAAATTTTTAGAAAACATTGGTCCACAACGTTCTCAGTTATTAATTCTAGATGGGCACGATTCTCACAACCTTATTGAGCTAATTGATATTGCTATCCAGAACCAGATACATATAGCTGAAATGCCTTCACACACATCAAACTGGCTTCAACCATGCAACCACACATTATTCAAGCCACTAAAGAATCATTATCGCTCTACAGCACAAGATCTGATGGGTCGATTTCCAGGAATTATTACTTGTCGTTCAAATTTTGCAGGGGTATTTGCTTGAGCTTGAGAAAAAGCAGTGACTTCTAGCAACATTACATCTGGGTTCAAGTCGTGTGGAATTTATACATTTAATCCTCAGGCTATTCCTAGTAATACATATTTACCAAACTATCTACACATAGTTGAGGATATATCAGTTAATACAACTGAAAACAATTGTTCTTTAGTTAGCATTGTACTATCGTGTTTTTGCTAATACTACTATACAATAAAAATTATTATTTAAACTTTAGCTAGCAACTGTGACAAATATTTTATGTAAAAATTGAGAAAAATTCTGAATGAAGCGTAAAGTTTACTAACTTGCATTTCAATAGTATTATTTATTATTTTCTTCAGACGTTGATGCTTCTATAGATGCTGGAAAAGTTGCTAATTATCTATAACAATTACAAAATGGCACTGAAGAAGATAACGCAACTCATAGTTTGTTACAAAGTAACAGTTCTATTTTGGAAGCAGAGACTGTTGTTCGTAATACTCAGCTTGCATATTTAGTCAATCCAGTTGAAGAAAAAAATGTTGACTGCATTGAATAGTTTTACCAATTTTACTAAGCAAAAAAAAAAAATGAAATCTTAGAACCATCAAACTTTAATTCCAAGACAGTTTCAGATTTTCCGTTTGCAAACTCTTTCTACCCTGGTAAGTCAATAATTTTACAGTTTTTTTTTTATTTCATTTTATCAAGTGATCAGTAGTTGCATAGCAACAATGCAACTTTTAATAAATTTTTAGTTTTAAAATAATTCAAATTTTTTAAAATTATTTAAATACTTGTTCTTTTATTGAATATATATATTTTTATCAATGCAGGTGATGGAGATAATGATGTCTTGGCATATCCTAAGGCCACCGCACGGAAAAAGATAGCAAACAAAAAAGGTCAGCTTAAATACTTCGTTTTAACTTTTCAAGAAGCATACTCAGCAAAGCTGAAATATACCAAGACAAAATCTTAATATACCAAGACAAAATGCGGAAGAAAACAACTGCGATTTGTTAATGCTGCTAAGTGACTCAAAGAAAAAGAAGAAAAAAAGTATTGGCTAAGAAAAAAAATTAGAAAATCATGCCAACAAGTCTATAGCAACAGCAAAAAAGAGGTTTATTTCATTATCATCTGAATTGCAACCATTGGTTGATTCCGAGAACAATACTGACTAATATGTACTAAATATTTGACAATATTTTTTTATATAACTAAAAATGCATACAATTTCGTCTTATCTATATAAACTTTTTTATTAATTTTATTTAAGAATACTCTAATGGTCTTATTTGTAATAAGACCTAATGGTATTATTATTAAGCACCGCCACCATTTAATGAGTTGGTTCCCCATTTCGAGCTTTAATGATAACGTATAAGTGTTTCGAGCAGAATTTGAACTCGCAACCCTTACACAATGAGTACCATGCTCTAATCACTACACCACGGCTGCTCAATATAAAAATTTAACTCATGACTGGGGCAAAAAGAAGACAATACTAAGGCTCGTAAACATTGATGTGTTGAAACTAGACTTTTTTTACACATTTTTTGAGATTGTTCTCAGAATCCAGAACCTAGGGAGAAATTTCGCATTCACAAAAACCCCATGGTTTTATACTTTTCTAAGTAAGATGGTACAATTGAGCATCAAAATTAACTAACGAGATTAAATCTCACTCACTTGTATATAAAGTCGCCCTACGCAAGTATAAGTTTTTTTTGTGGGCGACTTTAAATCAACGAGGCGAGACTTACATTAGGCGAGTCCAAGTGGGTCAGAATCAGTACTAGAACAACTACTCTCATAAAATCTAAATACTTTTACATAGTTTTGTAGCTGAAGGAATAAGTTATCTAATGATGTATAGTTCAGCTGTGCAAGTCTAATAATAGCCTGTCAATATCAATTTTAGTGCATACGTGGGTGAGGTTTGATTAAGTTATCCTATTGTCATATGTTGATGTAGTGCTACAGGTATTGAAATCTGCTTCTTTTGAGACGTGAATGTCGGAGTTGGGGGTTCCAATCCTTATTGAGGAGATCTTTTATTTCTAATTTTTATGTTTTATTTATATGTTTTTTTTAACTATTTTTGTTGTTTATTTAAAGTTATGTTCACTATTTATTTTCATCTTTAAAAGTTTCATAGAATAAGTGCATCAATGCATACATAAATTGACTGATTTCCATTTGAGTATACTGTCTTAAATAGGGATATACACTGTGGAGTGTAAATACATCGACAGACTTATATAAGCAGAGGCGCAGTGGAGTGTACATATGGCGGAACAATACCCACGGCCAATTTGTTTTCCATTACATTGTCGGATGCTATGTCCGGATGCAATTTGTCATCATATCGTAAAACCAGCCTTTAAAACACCGTGTATTTGCTATTAATACATTACTACATTTATATTTTTGGATATTATTAATTTGATAATCGATTTCATATGTTAACTTAAGGGTAGTTTGTTATGTATTGCTAAACATGGTCTAAAATAATTTAAAAAGCAATTATGGCAAGATCTCTTGCTGAAAATTTTCATAATTTTCCTCACGTTGATTTTAACTTTTGGAATACTACAAAGGTTTTCACTCCTGACGATTTCAGGTATCAACAAGTAGGTGCTATCTGCAAATTTGATCAATTTTTTATCACTTTTAAATTGTAAAATGCTTCAGCTATACTGAACCACTATTTTCCCCTATTTTAAACACTATTATGTAAATTTATCTATACATACACACAAACATAAATAAATACATACATACATACATAATACATACATACATACATACATACATACATACATACATGCATACATACATACATACATACATACATACATACATACATACATACATACATACATACATACACACATACACACATACACACATACACACATACACACATACACACATACACTCATACACACATACACACATACACACATACACACATACACACATACACACATACATATATACATACAAGATTGTCAGAAAGATTATTAATATAGATAAGGAAAAAAATAAGGCCAAGGATAGAACCTTGAGGTACCCTAGAAGTTATTGAAAATAAAGCAAAGTGTTGGTCTTTGAGGATGATTTTAGTAAAGTGGTTAGAAAGAAATGATTTGATAATCTCAAAAATTTTTCTTAGATATACCATATGGAAAACTTGTGGAGAAGACTAGTATGCCAAACTTTATCGAAAGCTTTAGATATGTTAAGATATGCACTTATTAAATAGTTTACAGTGACTTAAAGAGAGTTCTAGAGATCGCTTTTGTAAGAATATGACAGGAATGTTGTCTGGACCACAAGCCATAGAGGAGTTAAATATGACTGATATTGAGATATGACTTTAAAAACAGAAGCTGAAGTGAATATTTAACAATGAATATTTAACAATGAGTTAACCGTTATGGCCATAAGGTTCATGAGTCCAATAAAAAGAAAAGTTCCTTACAAATAATTTATCCTTATCCAATGGAGATGTAATAAGATTAGTTCCATGAATTAGAGATCGAATATTAGACTTACCTGATAATAACACTGTTAAAAATTTTCCAAAAGTCTCTAGAGCCTAACTTCTGAGCTAACCATGGAGTAGAATTAGGTTTCACTTGGAACCGATTAGAAGGAATAAAATCGTTCATTTCTGCCTGGATCCAGGAGGTTATGTAAGAGGTAAGACCGTCGCAAAGAAAATAATGAAATGAATCCCACTCATCCTTTGGGTAGTAGTAAATAGTTAAATGATAGAGTGAGAAGAAGTATGAGATGAAAGGTTTAAAGAGAATATTGTATCGTTGGAGCCAACTAAAGGAGAGCAAGGAGATACTGAACACAAGCTAAAGTCAGAGACAAAACACAAATCAAGGAGTGATTAGGGTTGTCTGAAAAATGTCAGAAATTTAGAAATGCAATAGTTATGGGCTTATGTTATATGCAATAGTGTGAGCAGGGTCACTGGTGTTAGAACCAACTTATTCAGTCTGATGAGCAATAAAGTCACCAATAACAACAATATTGGAGGAAGAGTAAAGAAATTAGGCATGGTCAATTTGATAAGAAATTACATCTAAAATAGTGCAGTCTTGAGAAGAAAGGGAACAATGAAGAACAAAGAGAAAGTTGATAGAGTGAAGAGGTGATAAGCAAAAGCACATAAAAGAATGGTTTAAGTATCTGCCCAAGATACTTATATCTCCTTGCAGTCAAATGAAATTTATATAATTTCAAAAGGGTTTAATATAGTTTCATATAAAAAGGGTTTAATATAAAAGGATTTCATATAAGTATATCAAATCCTTTTGAAATTATAATGAAAAAGTTGTTTCATTATAATGCTTATGATTAGTTTAATGATTTTTTTTTATGTTACAGACAACATGTCGATGTTTATAAAATATATTTTAATTTTTCATAATTTCATCAACTTCATGAAAATAAATGATAAACTTTAGTGTTACGTGTGCAGCCCTCAGAATTAAGGTCTGCAATGCCAAACCAACTGCTGACCTAAAAGTGTTTGAGGTTGGGAAAAATGGCGACCTTGTTTCTATGATTGATAGTATATTCAAATTTTTTTTCATGCCGACCTGGTGCCGAGCTTTAATAGATTGAGGTCGGCAAATTATTGCCAACCTCATTTTTCCTAATTCCGTGAGTTGATTGTGTGACAAGTTTTGTTACATGTGTGACACATTTAACAAAGCTGTACGAACTTTTAATAATTTAATTTAAAACAATTTTTTTGAATATTTACTATATTAACATAACTGAAATAAAGATTGAACTGAGTAGCACTTTTGTTTTATAGTTATTTTTAAAGTTTCAACTTTGTAATAGCCATATCTGGAAATTGAGTAATTATTTCTTGAGCTAACATGCCATTATTATAGTTCATTTAAAAATCAGATGACTTTAAATCACTTGTTTTGAAAAATGATCAGTATCCAATTGAAAGCATTGACATAATGAATTTTTCGTATTCCTGGTGTTTTTTTGATTTCTAATCAAGGTTTATTGTTGTCTATTTTACTAATGATTTCATCATTGTTGATATAGAGAATTTTAGTAGCTGTCATTAATGGTTTAAAAATATTGAAATGACCCATAGACGTTTATTCACACACTTTCTCATTTTTGCTAATACATTTTATTCAAACAAGAGACTTGGCTCTTCCTCCAACACGATCTACAACCCTCTTTCCATGGGAAGTTGCAAAATATTTCCACTCAAATGTTTAGTTATATTGCAAAGATAGTTGGTTGAGTAATTTCATCATAAATTTATTTTTAAATTATGATGATGGGTCATTAGTGAAAAGAGTTCCAGTATCATTGCAGTTTTCAGACATTAGTTTGAAAACTGAAAATGCCAGCCCTCAAAATTACAGTTGGCATTCCGCAATGCCAATCTAACTGCTGATCCTAAAGTATTTGAGGTTGACAAAAAAATACTTATTTTTAATGTTTTATGGTAACTCCCTTGTGTCAAATTCTTTTTGCCAACCTCAGTGTAAGATTGGCAATAAATTGTCAACCTTATTTTTCTCTTTTTCTGAGGGCTGGTATATAATTTCCCAATTAAGCAGTAAATACTATCTTTGCCTTTTCTCTAGTGTCTGAACACATAAGATATGTTTTGCAATTATTGTTGTTGAAAACAACACCAGTAAACAGTTTAACAGTGTTTCTAATCTACAGTACACTTTGTAGTTCATTTGGTATTCACAAACATATGCCATTGCAAAATCGACCTGAAAAACTCTTTATCCTGCAATTCCTTTGTCTTTTTCAAATTCAGCTGCTTGAACTCATTTTATACAAACATGTTCCTGGAATTTAGATAAAGTAGAGTAATTCTTCTATTACTTCTCCTTTGCACCCATTTTTGATTGTAATTGAAGACGCCTAGAGTTGTCTTATTTCCATTGCTGCCACACGACTTGCTTTTCTAGATATACATTTTTGAGGGATTTTTTTACTTTGTTAACAGCTGGGTAACAGTAAATGACCGCCTGAAATAACTAAAGTTGCTATTTTGGCCTCCCTAAATGAACTCTTGCTGGTCATGGTTGACCAATTGAAAAAAAATTAGAGTTTTTAAAAACAAGTTTTAAAAAATAATCAGGATTTTATTTGGAAAAAGCATATACTAAAATTTCTCCTTTGCCTATTCTGAGTAAAAAGCACTTGGAAAAGCAGACCAGACGCATAGACCTCAAGGGTTACAGACACGTTTTGCAATGCCAGGTAATACATTTCGAATGCTTCACTTATTTGTGAGTAGTAAGGATCAAGGTTGTATCCAAAACAGCCAGACATTACCGCATTGGATTTTCGAAAAGTATCAATTAATAGGATGGCTATAAAACATGAGTGTTTTTCATCAATTGATTGAAGAATAGAAATATTATGTAGTCACGCCCATTAGCTTTCTATATTTTTTAACTTTTTATTATCTCGTTAATCTCACATTAACTGCCATAAAACATTTTATGTACTCATTTGCTGCAAAATGTCCACCATGGTAAGAATGTTTTTTAATATGTTATGCATCAATCCAAAGAGTTGCTTGAAGAAAAACTTGAAATAGAGCATCAAAAAGATGATTTAAAACTCCAATTAGGAGATGAAATTCCTTGGGAGGAAGGAACTTTAAAACCAAGTGTCTCCAGGTAGTTTAAATATTGGAGAATGAACAACTTTTTTGTAGTTGCAAGCTTTTTTGATATTGGAACCTGCTGACTTGAAGAGGGAGACATTTTTTCCAGATTCAAAAGTTCTCAATTTTCATTGATATACAAGTTCCTTTGATCTAGATTCATACCAGGTGCAGAGATGTGCGCTTGAGTTGTGAGGCAATCCTCTGCCTTTAATTAAAAAACAATCTGAGCATCTTTTTTCTAATATTGAAGAAAGTGTTCTAGCTGCTGAACTTTGTGCAAATTCAATTTTCATTTGACTATTGTTTCTCAGCTTTCCAATCAAACAGATCAAGCAGTCACAGTAAGAGTCTTAAGTTTCTGGTTGAAGTTTTTTTATAGTCTCCAACTTATACAATGATGGGAGTGTAATTTCCATTTCACTTTCCTTCCTTCTCAAACAAGAGTGACATTTTTCGATGTTAGATCACATTGACATTTACTGAAACAAAGAAAACAAACAGTTTTTCTACATTCTTGTTGGTTTTTAGCAGTTTTTAGCATTTTCTGTAAAATTAGATGTGGAGTTTAGCTTTAATTGGTCAAATAAAAAAGATGTGCATTTTCCCAGAATTCAAAAGTAGAAATTTTTTCAAAAATAATTTGTTATAATTAAATATGTTTTATATCAATTGAAACAGTCTTTACAAAATAATCATAACTTAGGATTTTAGAAATGCTAATTAAGCTATCATTTTGCATGTTTGTGCAATCAATAAAATATCCCTGTAAACACAAGATGTGTTTAATACATCTATAATACATTTCGATATGTATTAATGCATATATTAAACATTTAAAACACATTTTGTGTTTATTGGGATGAAAATCCAAATGTAAATAACTTGCCAGAAAATTGTAATCTGATTTTGATACTTATATCTGTGATCTCCATAGAATTATATCTGTGATCTCCATTCCACTGAAGGGTTTTCCTGGGTCAGAAAGTTCAGGTTAGAACCTGTTTTACAACACTGTGATATATATATCACAGTGATATATATATATATATATATATATATATATATATATATATATATATATATATATATATATATATATATATATATATATATATATATATATACAGGCTTCGGCAGGAATGACGGGCTATAGCCCGTGTCCGTCTCCGCACCCGTCTAAGTCAGTTTAGACGGGCGAAATAAAGCCCGTCTGAAACATAAGTTTTGTGTAAAAAAAAAGATGAATATTTTGATGTTTTTTTATAAGTATACTCTTTTAAAACTTCTCTCATGACATAATTTTAATATGGATAGCAAACTCCAACTTATAATTGTTTATATTTAAATATAAAAATTAAACAATTTAATCATTATTGTATAACATGATGTAGAAAATAATATAACTAAATCTTACAGTTTTTAAAACGACGATAACTGTTTGATATAATACCAAACAGTTACCATATTATGTTCAAAATTTAATAACTATTATATTAAATAGGGAAATATACACATGTGATGCACAAGAAATATCATGTTGTTTTGGTTTTTCAATGTTTATAATAATAACGATAATAAACTAATTATCCATGTATTTCGCTTTTTTCCGATAAACTAGTTTGTCTTACTTTAAAGACATTTAAAGTGATATTTCCGCGTTAACTTCCACGTTAACTTCACGTTTTTTCTTAAAGAGACGGCAGTTTATTTAATATGCAATTATATAACTCGTTATTGAAAATGAAATATCTCATTAAAAATCAACAAACGTCTAATCAATTTTTGTAGATAATATAAATAGTGTTGCTTTATAGTTATGAAGTTATTCAAGCTATCCAGTCATTCAAGTTTTTCAAGTTATTCAAGTTTTTCAGTAAAGATAGTAATGGCATCATCTTGTAGAAGAGTTACATTAGCAACATTTTTGAGTTGGGGTAAAGATGGAGTCTGTGGAAAAGAAACTGAGGTGGAGAATGGAACAATTTTTGTTGTAAAGATATGGTGTATGGTTTGTATAAAATATAAAAAAGAATTGCTTCGCAAGTTAAAAGGTCTGGCAAAATTAAAAGCATTAGCATTTATAGAGGGCACTACGAACGTTAAAGCTAGCAACATACATACGCTTATATACATGCTTATATTGTATATAAAGTAACGGAAGCCCCGGTATCTTAAGAAATTATTAGTACTTCTAAATAAAAACTTATTTTATTAAAAGAAATTAGATTTCAAATTTTTTTATTCACGTATCAGAATAACCGATTTAATTTCCGATATAATTTCCGATCAGGATAGGCATAGGTAAAGCAAAGTTATAAAAATATCGTTTTCACGTTCATTCGTTTGACTATATCTGCCAGATATTATCTGGAATAAAGATAAAAAAAAAACATAAAAAACTGAATAAAGTTCGAGTAAGAAATCTAAACAAAAGCAACCATAAAACAACTAACCCACGTGAAACGAAATTAGATCTGTGCAAGTGAAAACTTTGAAAAACAATTATTGAAATCTTAGTTTTAAGTATTATCCAACTCATTTACTGCAGTGTTTTAATTACTTAAGTAATTAAGCATTTTAAACAGTTAATCGCTTTCTAACATGTTATTTTAGTGCAATTCACAAAATGTTTAATATTCAATGACATTTTCATTCAAAAAAAAGAAGAGAAAATAACAAATTTAAAAAAAAAAAAGTTCAAACTTTAGAATTTTTTTTAAAGTTTAAAAAAGCCCGTGCAAGACCATCTAGACGGGCGGCCCTCATAGCCCGCCAAGTCTATTTAAGACGGGCTTTTCATAGCCCGTACGGTTTTTATTCCTGCCGAAGCCTATATATATATATATATATATATATATATATATATATATATATATATATATATATATATATATATATATATATATATATATATATATATATATATATATATATTAGGGGTACTGATAAGTAATCAATTATTTAAGTATCAACAAAAAAAACTTTATTTATATTAAATTTTATTTCTAATCAATTATATAATCTCCATTGTTATCTAGGACCTTCTGCCATCTTGTTAGAAGAGTTTCAATTCCATGATCATATAGTTTTGTATCCTTTGAAGAAAAAAATTCTTCTAAGTGAGTTTGAATATCACCAACATTTTTGAAATTTTTATTCTTCAGGGAATATTCCAGGAATATAGGTAAATGTAAGGGATGTGGTAAAACTTCCCAGTTTAGCTGTCGTATTTTTAATTGTGGTTGTGTAATCTATTGAAGTTTTGGCAATACAATTCAGTGGTAACTGTTTTTCCTGGTTTCAGTAGTTCAAAATTAATTATACCACCAAAGTCCCACCAAACGCACAATAACACCTTTTTTAAAGTAAGGGATGGTTTAGGAGTGGTTACAGCAAGTTGATTCAGAGAATGCCATTGATTGGTGCGCTGTTTGTTGTTGTACAAGACTTATTTCCTATCACTAGTAACAATTCTTTGTGAAAATAGATCATTTATTTGTCTGCACAAGAGATGTGAAAATTGTAAGTGGTTGATCTTTGTTCATCTCAGACATTAGATGCGGGATCCATATACCCTGCCTGTAAACCTTTCCAATTTCCTGAAGATGTTTTTGAACGGTTGACAAAGTAGCCTGAAGAGTGTTTGCTATTTCCTGGATACTTAACTTGAATTTCCAATAATGTTTTTAAATTGTCATTTTCAAATCTCTATTGGACGCCCACTTTTCTAAACCAACAATGACATTTATTGACTTTTAATACGTCTCCATACACAAATCACAAATTTTTTTTGTTGCAACTGTTGCATTAACACCTGACTGAAAATGAAACAATATGCAATTATGTAAATGTTCTTCAGTTATTTGATTGTCAGCAATTTTGTCTTGAGGAATAAAAAAAATTTTATATTTAGATTTTAAAAATTGAAGACCACGAATTATAATATTAAATAATAAAACATGTGCTTATGCATTCACCGTCTGAGTTAGAATGAGGCAAAAAATACCACACTAAAAATAGTTGATTATTTATGGGTACCCCTAATATATATATATATATATATATATATATATATATATATATATATATATATATATATATATATATATATATATATATATATATATATATATATATATATCACCATTTTATTTTCAATTTATCTATTGTTAAAAATAAATTTTTTGTATTGTAAAAGTTGTTTATCCAAAACAGTTTTGATTAATTTATTTCTAGGTTTTTTATTTTTTTAGGCATTGCTTTTCAATGGACTCTACCTTCTATTTGCTTCTGCAATCATCTTAATTATCTTTGTTGCATATTTTCTTGTTTGTTTATGCTATTTTTGTGCCAAATGTCGAACTGAACCACTTAAACCTAGACCAGGAAGAAGCAGATGTTTGAGATGGCTGATTGCATTGGTTGCATTTTTGTCGTTGTTAGTTTTTTTAATAATTTTTGTAATTTTTTAGTAATAATAGCATTTTTTGTAAATATTAAAATTTTCATCACATTTACAAATTTGCTATTTTATTGGAAATGTTATTATTTGTTATTTAAAATTGGCTTTTCTGATAATTTGCCTCAGCTTAACCCACAAAATATGCAATAACAATGCTGTAATATTTTTTTTCAGAAATCAATCTAGCATTAATTCAAGCATTAGGCCCATAAAATAGATAGTTATTTAAAAGGACGTCAGTGAGGGTTGCACAATATGTCTTTTTAAAGGGCTTAGCTAGTTTTACTAGTTTAGATTAATCAACTTTGTCTTCCTAAATGTATAATTTATAAAAAAGTAAATAGGTATTCATGCTTAAATTGACAAAATAAGTAAAGTCATTAGTTTCCATGATTATGTTATGTTGAATACAGTTGTGAATAATCTACAAACTTGGAGCATAAAAAATGATCAATTACAAGTATAGAAAAATCCCACAAAAATGCTGATTCCAAGCAATCAACATTTTTGCAAGCTTTTTTGTCATATATATATATATATATATATATATATATATATATATATATATATATATATATATATATATATATATATATATATATATATATATATATATATATATATATCTATATATATATATATATATCTATATCTATATATCTATATCTATATCTATATCTATATATATATATATATATATATATATATATATATATATATATATATATATATATATATATATATATATATATATATATATATATATATGTATATATATATATATATATATATATATATATATATATATATATATATATATATATATACATACACACACACACACACACACACACACACACACACACACACATACATCATTGTGTGTGTATCTAGTTATATTTTATTTTTCAGCGCTCCTTTGGGATTAGGTTTTTATGCCAATAACAAAACAAAAGATGGTGTTAGTCTTTTTACACAGTCTGCTTCCAATATTTATAATCAATTTGATCTGTACAAGTTTAAGGTTTGATTTCATTTTAATTTTATTTTTTATATTATAGCTTATATAGATAACATTTTAATAACATTTGTTTACCGAATTCCATACAGTTTTTTTGAAAAAGGAAGAAAAAAAATGAAGATTAATGAAAAAACTGATTGCTGCTCTAACTCAAACTCTGTTGATGTAGCTGCACTCCATTACATGTTAGGGTTGTGTGTATTTATTTAAGCCTTTTCAAAAAAAAAAAGACATTAAAAAGAATACTAAATAAACGGCTGCATCAAAAGTTTGTACATAAGTTATATATAACTTTTTTTTTATAACGTAAGTTAAGTTGCTGCGATTATTTTTTGATAAACGATAAATTCAGCAATGTAATTTTAATAATAAACTAATAAACTTTAAATTAATAAAGTAAATAAATTAACGTAATTTGATTAATAACATTTTAAAAACTCAAAAATTTAACATATTTTAATTCATTTATGCAAATGTAGAGAAAAGAAAGAAATTTGTTAATACTAAACATTTATAAAAATGCAATATTAAATTTGAATATTTAATATTAAAAAAAAGAAAAAAAAAGAGCCTTCCTATCCAGTAATCCAAATGGTTATTTTGCAACTAGGAGATTTCAATACTTACAAGTGTGAGCAAGAAGAAATAATCGTAGATTTAGAAAAGTTAATAGAAACTTTTCCAAACTTGACTAAAAGTGTTTTTAATTTAGAAAATTCTAAATCAAAATTTTGTCCAACAGCGACAGGTGATCGGACTAATAAAGTAAAGAAGACAAATCAAATCAGATCAAATGAAAAATTATTAATACTATCGCAAATGAAACCAAAGAAAGAGATAAATGAGAAAATAACAAGGAGGCTACTTAATAGTGGTTATAACCCTCTCTCAACTCTTAACTCTCCGAAACATGAACCTTGAGGAACAAAGCCGCTGCGTGGAGAAACAAGTTGAGCGCTGTTCTACCAGGGACCTGGTGGGGATCAAACTCAGAACCTCTTGCTTATGAAGCAAGCGCTAAAATGGTGCAGCTTTATTGCATAACAATAAAGTTGCGCTTATATATAAACTATATATATATATATATATATATATATATATATATATATATATATATATATATATATATATATATATATATATATATATATATATATATATATATATATATATATATATATATATATATATATATATATATATTTATTATTATTATTATATATATATATATATATATATATATATATATATATATATATATATATATATATATATATATATATATATATATATATATATATATATATACAGGGGCTATTCTAGGAAAAAAAATTGGGCAACGGTACCCCCAGTCCCTGAGGAAATATAGCCAAACATCTGCATTTTTTCACGAAAAAAAAAAAAAAAAATACATGCTGTAAAAATGTAAAAAAAAAAAAGGCTTCATTTTTTAATTTGGGCAGCGCCCTAATACTGTTGATGCTGTCGAAAACGGTCTAGAATAGCCCCTGATATATGTATATATATATATATATATAAACAAATAGGCAACCTTCAGAATTAGAAAAAATTTGCAGACCTCAATCTTTTTGAGGTCCGCATCAGGTCTACAAAAATTATTTGATACAAAGGTCTGACTATAAAATATAAAAACAAGGTCGGCAATTTTTTTCCGACCTTAAGCACTTTCAGGTGGGCAGCTAATCCGGCTTTGCTGAATGTCGACCCTAATTCTAAGGATTGAATATGTTATATGCAAATATGAAAAATCCACTTATATAATATTGTATATAACATATAAGTAGACCTTGTGTAATATAAGAAAACCTTTCTAATAATTTCATGTCTTTTTTGCAGTGTTACATACAAACATCTGTAAGTTTAAATGTTCTTAGCATAAGTCAAATTTGTTAACAAGTCCAAAAGTAGCAAGGACAAGGCCAAGACCAATGCTAAATGTTACAAGGCCAAGGACAAGGCTACATGTTAGAAGACCAAGAATAAGAGTTTCAAGGCCAAGGCGTACGCAAACCTTTTCAAGACCAAAGACTTAAATTTTTGTTAACATTAATGCCAATTATTAACAAAACTGTAGGTAGCAAGTACTGTGACAATAAAACCACATGTTGTGAAATTAGATCAAGATTATGCTCAGAATTCAATGAAATTAATAAGAAAATATACTTGTAGCCAAGAACAAAAATACATTACAAAAAAGAATGAAACCTTTTATTAATTTAATTTTATATATTTTTAAATGAAGGCTATAGCCAAAACAATCAAGGCCAAGGCCAAAAGTTTCAAGACCAAGGCATTAATTTTTGCCCATAAGGCAAGGCCAAGGACTGAGAACTCTGGCATAAGTTGAGTTTGCAAGTAGTATATGGAAATAATGTATAAAGATATATTTATAGTATGAGAAAACTTTAATATTTTATTTTAACACTTATAAGTCTTTTTTGCTATATATATATATTGGTATAAATATATATGGCAAAATTAAAAAATAATTCAAAAATATATATTGCATAGGGGAGAACCTGAACCCCCACAACAACACTGATGACAGCGCACTGAGTCATGGAAGATAAGCTCTATGTATGTGGAAAAAATGTGCATGTTATTATTATTTTTTTAAAACATCTTTTTAAAATGAATTATTTTACTAAAAAATATTGAAGTAGATACGGAATAAGTATAGAAATGATCAGTGTGGAATAGATAAGTATAGAAATGGTCTGTTTGGTAAAGACCCATATTTAATGAGTCCGGGCAGCTAGGATATATATATATATATGTATATACAGTGACGTATCCAGGAATAATTTGGGCATACCGGTCTAAAATTTCTTTCTATCTTAGAGGACCTTTTTTTTTTTTTTTTTTTACTCAAATTTAAATACAATTATTCGTATATAATATATAATGATTTATCGCTAATCGCTACTTTTCATTTACTTGCTCCATACACTTACTATTTATAAATTAATACTAATTATTAAATTATTAAATTCCCAATATTAAATATTATTAACTAGAAATAAAAAGAGTATGATTTCATAAACAAACAATAACTATAACGTTTAATAAACAATATTTGTATGACTCTTTGATATAAACTTTATTACATAGCGTATTTAAAACAAGGTAAATTCATTCGAAATTTTAATTCATTCAAAAATTCATAACTTTTTTTTCTAGTTCTATTCTTACTATTCAAATTAAGTTTTTTGGCGCGAATATTAAAATGTTATTTTAATTATTTAAATAAATGTTATTTTAATTTTATGTTTTAAAAACTTTCATTCGTTTTATTATTTAAAGTATTTTACAAACAATTTTTACTGTTGTTTGAAATGAAAAAGTTTAAAACTCACCTAGTTTAATCGCTTCGAAAATTATGTTATGAAAATGTAAGCGGAGGAGAAACTCATATTAATGTATTTTAAAATGTTATTTAAAAATGCTAAGCGTTTCATATTTTAATCCAATCAAAACGTGCGTTTTACATTCAATCCAATGACAACATATTCTATATTTCATCAACGTGAATTCGAATTAAGCATTTTGGTTGACTTAAAATACATTTATAATGTATTTTAAGTTTTAAAATACATTACTTTTAAAATACATTTATAATGTATTTTAAATACGACTTTTAAAATACACTTATAATGTACTTTAAAAGTCGTTTTTCAAATGTTGATATTTATGTAACTGTAACAAATGCTAATATAAAACTGTTTTAAATTGAGTTTGGGCTGAAATTTGGGGGCCCATACCGGTATACCGGTATATCAAAATGGGCCTGGATACGTCGCTGATATATATATATATATATATATATATATATATATATATATATATATATATATATATATATATATATATATATATATATATATATATATATATATATAGGCTTGGTCGGGAAGCGGGTGCGATTGCACTCAATAATTGACCACGGAAATAATATTAGTTGCGAAAAACCGGCCAGATTTTTGAGAACATTTCAAAAATAAACAAAAAAGTGCGATAAGATTAAATGGACCTATGAGAGACAGTTAATAAAAGAAAAATAGCATTTATCGCGAAAAAACTTTAAGAAAATCAAATTTATTAGAGCAATTATTTTAAAAACATCACTCTTTTATAATTTTTTTTATAAAATTAAGCGACATTTTTTATATACAGTAACAACTATAAAGTAGGGATGTACCGAAGCTTGGGCTTCAGCATGCCGAAGCTTTGGCAATTTTGCCGAAGCTTTGGTTTGGCCGAAGCCAGGTCAATTTTTTGCTGAATCTTTGGTTTCGGCAAAAAATTTTAAGTAATTAAAGTTATAAGCTACTGTTGTACAAGTTATAAAAATATGCTAATTGCCATTAAAATATGCTAATTGTCTAATTAAGTTGTAAATTCAGGACTACAGAGTTAAAGTTGGAGTCTATACCATATACTTTATATTATTTACTCCTAAATGTCTTGTTATGGAGGGGATAATAATAAGCAAAAATATATTGAATATAATAGTAAAATTAAGGAAGGTCCTCATACACTTTGAAGGCTTCCAAGTGTGACTTTAGATAAACTAAATCGGGATTTTTATGCAGAATAAAAACCTTATAATTTAAAACAAATTAAAATTTTTTTAAAATAAAATGGAAAAAAAACCTTAATTTGTATTATGTAACGAATTTATATTAATTTTTGTGTGGGATTACCGCAAATAGAACAAAATTTGGTTTCAGCATTTGACCTATAAACCTTAGTAATCTCACTTTAAAAGATTAAAGATACATTGCTACTATTTTAAATTCTGAATGGTTTCTTCTTATGATATTATGAAGACTTTTAAATTTTATTTAAAATAAATTAAAGATTAAAGCTTTGATTACTTTGAGCTCTTATATTTATCATCAAAATTTATTTAAATTAAATAAACAATTTAAATCAAATAAATATCAGCCTGCTTAGTCCCTGTTTATTTATAAATATAAAGTAAATAATAATATAATTATAAATAAAAAATTTATAAAGTATTCTATTTATTATTTTATTTAAAGCTCGCTCTACTGAGTTGTTAGATTACTATAGAAGTTTTTATCACAGATACTTAATATTTGATTTCAGATACTGATGCAGATTTATCCATTACAGAGACAGAAGAAGAATGAATACTAAGATTTCAGAGTGTAAAAGATTAATAGAAGCTTAAAAAAATGTTATGTAGTGTAAAGTTAAAAATAATCAAAAAAAAAAAAAAAACCAACTTAAAAGTGTGTAAAAAAGAAGTTAGAGAGAAATCTATCAATTGTACTTTTTTTTAGCAGCAGGTTCACAACAGTTGTAGTGGAATACAAAATGATCTTAACTTGGGTTTTTTTTAGTTTAGAAATTGTTCGTTTAATGATTACAGAGAATTAAAAAAAAGATATTGAAATAAATAGCAATAAAAAGATAAAGTGTGTTTGTAAGATTTTTTATGTTGTAGATACAACAAGACCAGCTAAGAGTGTTTATTTAGAGAAAGAGTGTTCAAGTGTAAAAGATAAATTTACTTGAGTAATATTCAGAGATTTTTATCCACTCTTAACAAAAGGTGCATTAAAAATAAAAATAAAATATACAGCACACAAAAAGATGCGTAACAGTAATTTATGGGAAATAAAATTTGAGGATGTTCAGCTAGCACACGATAATAAGATAAAGAAAACAAGATGATTAAATAGAGGATTAAAAATTAGATGATTAGATAGAGGATTAAAGAGAAACAATGTTTACATAGAAGAACAGTGTGGCTATAAAAGATCAAAAAAATAGCAATAATCTTAGAAGAATATTTGGAGTAGTTGGGAATATATGTGAGTTACTGATATTGTGCACTATATAACATTAATATGGTTTGCACACAGAAAAAGTAGAACTAGAAGTAGAAAAATTTGGGGAGAATGTTTCAAAAAAGCTTAAGTTTAAAAAAAAACACTAGGTGCGTTGAAGTATCAGAAACGACATAATGAGAAACTTTCAAACAGGGGCGCTGAGAGCTTTTGCCCTTCCTGGGGCAGCAACCCTGATTGGCGTCCTCATTTTTATACATTTTTTCTATATTATTAGTCAAGGATCTTAGTTTTGGTACCTTTTTTGTTTTACACCCCTGCTGAGCTGAATGCTGATTAAATTTTAAGCATATATAGTGCCAAAGCTTCGGCTTCGGCAAAATTTTAGCTTCGGTACATCCCTACTATAAAGAAACAAATGTTCTTCAATTTATCAATGAGTATATATAATTTTTTATTTATATACTTATGTCTTATTTCCAGTGCTGGATTGAGGAGGTGGGGTGGAGGTAGTAAGGCTGTAGCCCCGGGACTCACAATGTTATGGGAAATAATCAAGGGGACCATTCAATATTTTTTTTAGTCATTTTTACGCTGTGGCACATAAAAAAGCATCGGCCCTGAAAAGTCCAACATAATTCAACCAATAAAACTAACTCTTGATGATTTATTTATAAATAAAAAAGATTTTTTCAATAACTGTTTTATGCTACGCGTATTTTAAAAAGTTTAACACATTCGAAACAATTCTTCCTAGTAAGATGAACAAATGAAATAATTAAATCATCGAGTTACTGTAGAAATTCAATTAGTTAGATAGAAATTAACTAAAAACGTTTAATTACTTTGTGAGGAAGAAGCAGAACTGTTTCAAAATACCACTTATAATATTTAGTGAGTGAGCTTAATAATTTTAATACATAACATACATAAAAATACATTACATACATAAAAAATACATCCCTTATATATAAAAAATTAGAATATACTAATAAAATCTATAGTATATTTACAAAATGTTGACAAGTTAATAAATATAAATTTAAAACATTTATTATTGTAAACAAATGTTAGTTTAAAACATTTATAGTTTTGTAGATCTGGTTTCAAGAATTAAAATAACAGTTTGTTTGATAGTATATTCTTAAAATAATTTATGCTAGAAATCTCAACGTAAACGTAGCAAAGTACAAATAATACAATTTTTTTAAATATTTTAACAGAATGCTGAGGACATTCGGTTAGTATTTTTTGAATATTCTAGAAATTTCGGTTAGTATTTTTTAAACCAATAGAATTAGTTGTTCGTAGATATGGCGGGATTTTTGTTTTTTGCGAATATTACTTTTTTATTTTTCTGCACTAAGATGTTTTAGAACATTTAACTTAATGTATGTTTCCATTTAAGTCCGTAAAACAAAATATTTTAAAATTTATGATAAAATGAACTTATTATTTTGCGGACAAACAAGGAAACATACATAAACTTGAATCTTCTCAAAACAACTAAAAAATTTGGCCAGTTTTTCGCAACTAAATATTATTTCCGTGGTTAGTTATCGAGTGCGATTGCATCCGCTTCCCGACCAAGCCTATATATATATATTGCATTGCATGCATTGCACATATTTATGTGAATATTATATACTAGCTGACCGGATTTGTTAGAATACAGGTCTTTCTAAATCTATTCCACACCGATATATATATATATATATATATATATATATATATATATATATATATATATATATATATATATATATATATATATATATATATATATATATATATATAGTTGTGAAATTAATATCACCTTTTTTCAGGTTCTTTACTTTTGTGTGACACAAACTTTTTTCTAAATATCACTCGAAAACAAAATTAGTGTATTGTAATAAATCTTTTTTTTAAATTTCAAATCAAAGCAGTTTTAAAGTAATAAGTCTTAATATCATTTTAAATTTTGCAAAGGAGGATTATACTTTATTTATTATTTAATATATCATTTGTTATTTGTATATATTTATATAATTATTTCTTATCAATTTAGAAATTCATCCAAATATATTGATTACATTTGTAAAGTTAGCTAGAAATCACTTATTTACCTTTTTTTTTAAATAGTTATCTACTGAACTAGTAATTAAAATTTTTAATTACAATTTTAGTTTGGTTTTTATATCACATCATATATATAGTTGTTTATCAAAAAATATCTGAGATATTGTAATCAAATCTCCTTTCTTTTCTGTTTAATTAGTGTTTAACTCTCTACTTAATTAGTGATTGCTTGCAACCTTGTTGGTAGTCAATTTTTGAACAACAATAAAAAGTTGCAAGTTTTATATTTATAAAATTTTTTATAATTTCATATAAAATTTTAAACTTTTAATAAACTTTTCTGTTCAATTTTTATTGCTATATAGTGTGTTGTTATTCAACGGTATTTGGAAGTTGGTGTTATTAAGGAACTTTCTGAAATTAAATTTGAAATCAATCCAAAATATTCTATACCAGCCCCATTACAAATGCTTATGGACTCTGTTAATGCTGCAAATCAGAAACTAACTTCCTCTGGCAACTTATTAAAAGATGCTGATGTCAATTTAGTTCAGCTATCCAATCAATGTAATAGTTATGAAAAAATACGGTATTATTTAATTATAAATAATGTTAATATTATCATTTTATTATCAATAATTTTAAATTCCTTATGTTTATTTTTTATGATCATAACAAGTTGTTTTTTTTGAATTAATTTAATTATTTGGATTAATATTGTCTTGAAAGTTTACACCATTCCTAAAGCTAAGTGACATTTCTAAAGCTTAGAAATTAAAAATAAAATTTCTAAGGTAATAAAGAAATTTCTAAAGCTTAAATTTCTAAAATCCTAAAACTTATTCTAATTTCTAAAGCTTAGTGATATTAAAACATTAAATAGAATGTTACATAGAATAGTTATTAATGACCCATTAAAGAGGATTTAAAATTGATTTATAGTAGAACCTTTTTTTATAAAGAAAGCTTTTAAATTTTCATGAATGAATTAGATTTAGGTACTTATCATTAAAAATTAGGATTTCGGTAGGTTAAAACATACAAAATAAACTTTTATTAACATTGCCAATTTTTTAATTCATAAACCATGATGGAGTCATGGAACTGTGACCAACTAATAGAACATTTGTTGTTTCTTCTTGCAACATAAAGAATTTGACTTTTATTTACTCATCTGACACAATTAGAGTTGCAACTCAAAAAAAAATAATAATAATAAAGCACTACTAATACATGTTTTTTCTTTCTTATATTTTGCAATGTTTTTAAAAAAAAAAACACTGTGAAATATAAGAAAGTTTATATTTTGTAAAGTTACTCTTTTATTATATTTTATTAAATTTTAAACATAGTCAAGGCATGTCTATCAGTTATTTCAATAGAATAGGGGTGAGACAAGGGAAATGGATAAGTCAAAAAAAGTTGATGCCAACAATTTACTTACTAAATGAAATTAAAAAGAAAAAAAGGATGTTTTCTTTCATTTAATTTTGTTGTTGAAGTTAGGGTGGGGGGTGGAGGGGGTGGAAGAAGAGTAGTCAAATGTTGGCGTAATTTTATAGAACAAGTGGGGGATGAGGAAGCAGACGTATGACAAATTGTTGACAAGAGGGAGGGGGAGGTAAAAATTACCAAAAAATTGATGACATAATTAATGGACAGCCACTAATTGGATTTTAAAGTTTCAATTTTGTTAGTCTGTAAAAGGTATTGACGATCTTGACTTGTAAATTGGAGTCAATTTAGTGTAAATTGACTCCAATTTGCAGTACAAGTCACCGTTTTTAGCACAAGAAATAGCCAAACTCAAGCAAGTTTAACACTAAGCCACAAAACATATTGCAAGCAAGTTTAACACTAAGCCAACTTAAAACACTTTTATTCAGAGACAAGATCAAGACTTATCCTCACAACAACAAAAAAATTTTCTAAACAAAATTTGAGTTAATGGTGCAACTAATCCTATAGCTGACTTTAAATCTATAATTTTTTTTAGTTGAACATCAATTTGAATCAACCTTCCTACTTTATCTCAAAACATTGTTGCCCTTTTAGTAAAATTATCCAATGTTTTAAATACTTTTTAAATTGGATTTCATTGCAATAGAGTAAATGATTGAGTTGCTGCTATTGGTTTACTAATTGTTGTATCAGTTTTTTTGTATTATTCAGTTTCTAATACCTATATTTATATTATACTATACTTAAATTTATATTTGTACTATCTGCAACTAATTTTTAAAAAGATTTTATAGAATTTTTATATTTCAAAATATAAAATATTTTCTGATACATCGACAACTTTCCCTGATTGATTTGCAAAATGATTGATATCAATATGTAAAGCAAGAATTGTAAAATTAACTTTTTTTAAAATTTCTATTACTAATTACTAAAATGTTGAAAATCATAAAATTTTCTACTTGATCTAATTTGCTTTAAATCTAATGCAAACAAGAATCTGCTCTTTTTTTGAGTTTCTTTGAAGTTTTGATTGCTCTTATATGTTATTAGCAGAGTTTATTTCTTATCTTTTTATATTTATTATCTTTCTTGTTTAAAAAGATTATTAAATAATTGTTAAGCATTTTTTATATTCTATTTTATATACCAGTGCATTAGGGTGTGTCATAAAAAAACATTTTTTGAAAATGTCTGATGATACCCCCTAAATGTGTTCTATGTAATAAATTAATAATAAATTTAAAAAATATTTTATATAAAAAATATTTTAGGGGTTGCTCAAGACCCTTAAACATCAGACGGGTCCCTAATATTTTGAAAAAGAAAAAGTTCTTTAAAAGCATATCATGCTGTGTCTCAAAAGAAGTGAAGTTTTATAAAAATTACAAAAATAGTAAAAAATATTTGTGGAAACACAATTTCAAAAAATTTATTTAAAAAAACTAAGAAAAATGGACTTTTTTATTTTTTGTTAAAAAACTATAGTTTTTTAACAAAATAATAGTTTTTAAGCCATAAAATTTAAACTAGTAATTTTTATTTAAAATGATTATTATTTTTGAAATTTTCATAAAATTTCACTTGTTTTGAGACCCAACATGATATGCTTTTAAAGAACTTTTTTCAAAATATTAGGGACTCGTCTGATGTTTAAGGGTCTTGAGCAACCCATTAGACATTTTCAAAAAATGCAACATCATTAGACATTTTCAAAAAATGTTGTTTTATGTAGGGCTGTACCGGATTTCGGCTCCGGCTCCTGCTCCGGCCGAAATCCGGCCATTTTTACAAATCCGGCCCAAATCCGGCTCCGGCAAAAATTTAGCAAATCCGGCATAATTTTAGCCGGATTTTTAAATTTTGTCAAATATTTATTACATTTTTTTTGCCCGTGTTTACATGTATACCTAATATTTTATTTATAAAAATCAATTATTTTTGTAATTCTATATTTTATGAACCTCATATTTGTTTTGGTATTTGTATTTATATTTCTTTATAATATAATAAGCTTAGTCTAATTTCAAACAACAACGCAGCAAAAAATTCTGAAGGGAAGACACACGATATTCTAGAATGGTGCAGGTATAAAGACTATGATGTCAACCCTAATTAAGTGATTGGATGAGCGTTTTAAAAGCATTGAAAAGAGAAACATCTTTATATACTGACGAGGCTGGTTGACTCACAATTTAAAACTAAATTCTCCTCATTACAGGCAACACTGACAGCTGAAAAAACAAGATTGAAGTAAATCTGAGCATGCTGAACAGAAGATTGACAAAACTGAAGAAAATCCACCAAAATAAGCCGGGCTTAATAATTTTTTTACATCATCATCATCATTACTCTGGCAATTTATTGATAAAATTATTCAGTCTATGTCCGCTGGTGGCAGGGCACATAAACAACAATTACTAAAAGGCATTGAAACTCAGCTAAGGAAATATCCGAAAGAACCAGAAATAAGTAGACACAGTGATCCACTACAGTGGCGGAGTGACAAAATCCCGGAAAAAAAGTTCAATAGAATTACTATAAACTTTTAAAACATTTGGCCTATAGAATTTCTTTAGAATTTCTATTAATTTATATATAGAAATTGCTATAAAACTTTTTAAATAACAACAATGAAGTTTAACAGAAAACAGCAGTCACTTGGTATTCTGAATAGTCCACATTGTTGACCATGCTCAACACCAATTAGGGATGTACAGGATTTTGGCTCCTGTAGTTTTGTTTTGAAATCCGGCTCCGATTCCGGGCGGATCTGTCAGTAGAAATCCGGCAAATCCGGCTCCGGCCGGATTTGAAAAAATTAAATCCGGTACAGCCCTAGTTTTATGACACACCCTACAGTGCATTTTATTAACTGACACAAGTTTGGATAGTTATGTCTGTTTTGTGGCAATTTAATACTTTCTTCAAATGAATCAGCTTGTGCTATAAGGGGAGTAGTCAACAATTCATAGTTTTGAAAAAACTAAATAAAACTTTGCATTATTTTCATTTTTGTTAAAAAAGATGTAATTTTTTGTATATGAATTCTTTATTACCCCAGTTATCATGAAACACACTTGATTAATGTTATTTAAAATTTACAATGCTTTCATATGAAAAAAAATCTTTTAAGTAGTTTTACTTATTCTCTTTTAGCATAATTTAAATAAAAAAAGATAAATGTGTTGTAAAATAATATTATTTACTAAAAACACCAAGAAATCAATATTTATATACACTCCTATGTTGATAGGAGTGTATATAAATATTGATTTCTTGGTGTATATAAATATTGATTTCCTCAAGATTAGGTTCGGCATTCAGCAATGGCAACCTAACTGCCGACCTAAAAGTGTTTGAGGTCAGCAAAAAATTGCTGACCTCATTTCTATGCTTTATGGTAAGACCATTGTGTCAAATTTTTTTTGCCGACCTCTTAAAGATTGATTTGAAAAAGAAAGATTCATTTTTCCTAATTCTGAGGGTTGCTCCTATATATAAAGAATAAATTTTAGAAATATATACTATCTTCAAATAAATCTCTTTAGTCACCATTTTCAACTTCAACAACTTCGGTTGTTGACCGCATAAATTTCAAAATAAAAGTCTTCACTCAATTGGAATGTAGGGTTCTAGTTTCTTTATGTCTGCCATTTTTTAAATCTTTATTGGTACTTACTTCTGCAGGGTAAGCTTTTTTACTTGGAAAACATAAGTTTGGGCAACGTGTTAGTCTAAATAAAAAGCTATGATTCATTACATAATTGATGAAAAGTAATAACCTTGGATGGAATTTTTTTTTAACATATGTGCATTGCATAAACTTGCTTATTGAAAATAAGCAAGTTCATGCAGTGCACGAACTTGCTTTTTGTTCCTTTTAACTTGCTTACTTTTGTTTCATCGAAAACACAACTTTTTTTGTAAAATTGCGGCCATCACATCTTGAAGTCTAAAATTTCTGAGGACTTAATTTTTGTACCACAATTTTATCATTTTTGGAGGATGTCTTAATAAGGTCACATACTTGGTCTACTGTGTATAGCCTATCATATTGTTTTAGTTCTTGCTGTATTATGCAAAAATCCCTATCACACTGTATAAAGAAGTGCCCTCTTATTAGTTAGAATTGCTCAATCTTTTCAAATTTCTTTAAATTAGTCTTGGCTAAGAGTAGCCCAGATAATAAATGGTTTTTATTTTGGCCCAAACAAGTATCTGAGAATAAGTGGAGTTTAGTAAACAGCTGCTCTACTGCTTCATTAAATAGTTAAATAAAAGGGAAAGTATCTGGACCTTTCCTGCTGTACCATGATGAACAAAAACGTGTGCTTTGTTACTTTTATTGTTATAAACACAAAAAATATTAACTGAAAGTAACCTCAGATAGAGTTTTCTTGCACTAGTATTTTTGGGATCTGTGTGTAATAACTTTGCTGACTTTTTCACTTTTATCTGAATTCATTTCTGTGTTTCACTTATTTATTTTATAAGATTTGGATCTGCTTTCCTTTACTTTGCTGACTTTTTCACTTTTATCTGAATTCATTTCTGTGTTTCACCTATTTATTTTATAAAATAAAACTAAGAACGCAAAACATAAAGTTAATTTATATGGTTAATTCCTATTTAGATTAAGTTATACAGTAAACAAAGTTACAATAAACAAAAACAACAACTGGCTCATATCATCTGTTGTAATCAGTTGCATAACTATATCTCCAGATGACATAAAAGAAATTTTATGCTAAAAGGGGAAAAATCAGTGACTAAACTCCTTCTAGAATGAACAGCTCTACAATGCATTTACTGTGTTAACCAAGCGTCTGACTTGTTGTTTGTATGTGTGTGTATATATATTTATACATATATATATATATATATATATATATATATATATATATATATATATATATATATATATATATATATATATATATATATATATATATATATATATATATATATATATATATATATATATATATATATATATATATATATATATATATATATATATATATATATATATATATATATATATATATATATATATATATATATATATATATATATATATACACACACATTGAAGTTTCTGAAATTAAAAAAAATGTGATTTTTATTTTTGTAAATAATTTTCAACTTTTTTCTTTTATTTAGGTGGTGGATTACAATTGGTATTTACTCCTGGCATTTACTTGTCATACTTGTTATATTCTATTCCTCTTACACTCAAAGTAGATGTTCATTTGTTATGTATGTATTATCTAAATGTTCATTTATTATGTATGCATTATCTAGATGTTTATTTGTACATATTATGTTTAAAATAAAAATTTATATTAAGTTTGATTATGTAAAATTTTTCTTGAAAATTGATAGCCCTGATTTATTTCATTACTTCTGTTCATAGAGGTTTAAATAAAATTAGAGTTTTATTATTTATTTTGATATTTTACAACTGTCTCACCATCAGGCTCTATACCCTGATATATAAAGCTAGAAATTCTTTGATATATTTTTTTACATAACTTTATACAATTTACCTTATAAAAATTATAATTAGATTTTAATTTAAATTATGACATATTTTATATTATCTTGACAATTGACAAACAAATCATTTTTTCTCCACAATAAATAAAACTTTTAAACTTTAGAAATACCATTGTTTTATACAGCAATTCATAGTGTAAATCATGTAGATTTAGCTGATAAAAATGTTTCATTTTTGCATTTTCTAGGTAAATAGCTTACTTTAGTCCAAGGCCCATACGTATAATTTTGCGGCCCACTCGGTTTAATTTGTTATTAGTTTTTAGCAAACTATCTAGTTTTTTATATTGTTATTTCATTCACAACCATTGCTTTTTTGAATTTTTATTTTCTGTATTGTTGTTTCATTTTTTTTTGTTTTTTTTTTTATAATTTCAGTTTTTATTTAAAAAAAAAGTTCATAAAGAGTGTGATTTCTTTAATAAATTTTTTTTTTTAATTATTTTTAAATTATTAGAAAAAGCTATATTTAAATTACTTTTTTTAACAGTTTGAACATTTTGTTGCTTTAGTATATCATTATACTATTTGTAGTGGCTCTTTTTATATTTTTATATTGCTAATAGTAGTGCTTATCTTCTTCTTGTTGTTTGCGCTTATCTTCTTCTTGTAGCATGTTAGTAATATAAAAGCAAGGTAGTCAAATATATATCACAACATTGTATTTATGGAATATTTAAAACAAATACATTACAATTATTTTGTTTTGGTAAGACAATTTTCAAGAAAAAATATTGATTTTTTATAAAAATTCTTCATTATTATCAGATTATTAAAAAAGCTATATTTAAATAACGTTTTGAACAATTTGTGCAATTTTTTTTTAGGTAAGACAATTTTCACGGAAAAATATTGATTTTTTTTATAAAAATCTTTTATTATTTTTAACTGTTACTAGTGTTTACTAATTTATTTCAAGCTTCTGTATTCAGTATCTTAGTTTCCAACAAAAGTGGGAATTGAAGTACTTTTAAATGAGGTAAACAATAAAATCATCTGTTTGATATGTAATAGTGCTATTAATGTACCAAAGTTATATAACGTTAAACGTCACTACGAGCAGTATAAATCAAAAATTATAGTTACGAAGGATTATTGAGACAAAAAAAGTTAAAAGAGTTTATATCCAGACTGAAAAAATAACAGTTCATGTTTACTAAAGCATTACAAGAAAGTGAATTGGCAGTGCATGCAAACTATGTTTTGTCGGAGTTAATCACTAAACACTCATAACCTTTTACCGAAGATGATTTTACCAAAGAGTTTTAATTAAGGCTGCAGAAATTATTTTTCCTGAAAGTATAAAGGCATTTCAAGGTATCTCTTTATCTCAAATACCGTTGTGGAAAGACTTACTGATATGACCAGAAGTTTAAATGATCAGATTAAAGTAAAGTCTTGTTTCAAAGCATTCTTCATTGCCTGTGACAAAAGTATGGACATTGATGGCGTTGCTCAATTAGCTGTTTTTTTTTTGAGCATGCTACACAGATTTCAACATCTATGAAGAGTTAACTAACTAGTACCGATGAAAGGCTTAACTACTGGAGAAAATATATTTAATTGTGTTAACAAACTTCTACAAAATGCAGCTTAGCTCAGTCAAAATTGATTTCAGTAGCAATAGATGGAGCTCGATGACCAGCAAAACCAACGGTTTTGTGGCGTTTATAGATAAAAATTAAGTGAAATATATGATGGGTTAAAAATTCAAGTGTTACGTACCAAAATGATAAAAATGGAAAATATGTTGAGGTCTATAAAAATAATTATTAATTTCATAAGATTTTTAGGGTCAAATCAAAGATAGTTTTCTAGATTTCTATCTGAATTAGAAATCAAATATTTGTCATACTATACCAAAGTGCGTTAGTTGTCATGCTCCAAGCTTCTTAAGCAACTTTGGGATTTGAAAGAAAAAATATGTATAGTTTTTAATATCTAAGAATCAAGACATTGCCTTGTTTTCTGATACGCTGTGGTTGCAAGATTTATCCTTCATGATTGATATAACAAAACACTTATTCGATTTGAATTTGCAACTGCAAGGAATCAGGAATCAGATCAACTGCAAGGAATCAAGGAATCAGATCCTTACCAAAATGTGTGACCATGTTAATACATTCTAATATAAGGTAGTTCTTTGAGAAAAGCAGTTAAAAAAATTAAAGTTTGAAAATTTTCCGACATGCAACATATATAAATTCAGTTTATGTCAAACTGTATCATACAGAAAATACGTAGAAAAATTTTTAATTTAAAATTTAAAACAAGGTTTGCTGATTTTAAGTTGTTAGAAGACAAGTTTTCTTGTTTAATTCAATTTTCTTGGCAAATATAGAATCAGTACCTAGTAAGTGACCGGGGCCCTGGCCCTTGCTTAAAACGAGCCTTTATTCAAATATTTATAACTAGGGCTGTACCGGATTTCGGCTCCGGCTCCTGCTCCGGCCGAAATCTGGCCATTTTTACAAATCCGGCCCAAATCCGGCTCCGGCAAAAATTTAGCAAATCCGGCATAATTTTAGCCGGAGTTTTGAATTTTGTCAAATATTTATTACATTTTTTTTGCCCGTGTTTACATGTATACCTAATATTTTATTTATAAAAACCAATTTTTTTTGTAATTCTATATTTTATGAACTTCATATTTGTTTTGGTATTTGTATTTATATTTCTTTATAATTTAATAAGCTTAGTCTAATTTCAAACAACAACGCAGCAAAAAATTCTGAAGGGAAGACACACGATATTCTACAATGATGCAGGTATAAAGACTATGATGTCAACCCTAATCAAGTGATTGGATGAGCGTTTTAAAAGCATTGAAAAAAGAAACCTCTTTATATACTGACGAGGCTGGTTGACTCACAATTTAAAACTAAATTCTCTGCTCATTACAGGCAACACTGACAGCTGAAAAAACAAGATTGAAGTCAATCTGAGCATGCTGAACAGAAAATTGACAAAACTGAAGAAAATCCACCAAAATAAGCCGGGCTTAATAATTTTTCTACATCATCATCATCATTACTCTGGCAATTTATTGATAAAATTATTCAGTCTACGTCCGCTGGTGGCAGGGCACATAAACAACAATTACTAAAAGGCATTAAAACTCAATTAAGGAAATATCCGAAAGAACCAGAAATAAATAGACACAATGATCCACTACAGTGGCGGAGTGACAAAATCCCGGAAAAAAAGTTCAACAGAATTACAATAAACTTTTAAAACATATGGCCTATAGAATCTCTTTAGAATTTCTATTAATTTATATATAGAAATTGCTATAAAACTTTTTAAATAACAACAATGAAGTTTAACAGAAAACAGCAGTCACTTGGTATTCTGAATAGTCCACATTGTTGACCATGCTCAACACCAAGTAGGGATGTACAGGATTTTGGCTCCTGTAGTTTTGTTTTGAAATCCGGCTCCGGCTCCAATTCCGGGCGGATCTGTCAGTAGAAATCCGGCAAATCCGGCTCCGGCCGGATTTGAAAAAATTAAATCCGGTACAGCCCTATTTATAACCCTCTCTTAACTATATAACTCCAAAACACAAACCTTGACAACCAAGGCCGCTGTGCAGAGAAACAAGTTCAGCATGGTAATATTAGGGATGTGGTGGGGATCAAACTCGGTACCTCTTGCTTATGACGCAAACCCTCTACCACTATACCACGACCGCTTTACATTTACAATGTGCTTTTAGACTTTGTCTGAGAGCAAGAGGGTTGTTATTCATCATTATAGGAATACCAACATTATTACAAGATTTTTTTGCACTAAATAAATGAGTTTTGTTGTCTAACAAAAAATGCAGGTTTTAGAATTTCAGGTCCAGAATTTAATACCATAAACCACAGCAAGTCTTAAGCTGTTACATAAGAAAGTTTAAAATTAAAAATCAGCTGCTTGTTCTAAGCAATCATAAAGTAAAGATTTTTTGTCTAGGCAAGAGTACAAAATTGAATCGTCAACAAATAGAGTTACTTTAGATTAACAAATAGACCTACTTTAAATTTTCATGAAGATTGATATTGTAGATTAGAAACAGTATAGGAGCAAAGATTTAAGGGTATCACAAGATACCTTGTGGTTCCCTTAAAGTTACTTGAAATAAAGAAAAATGTAGGCCTTCAAGAATAACTTTATTACTGCAGTTAGTAAGTAATAATTTAATAATCTCAAAACCTTTATATAAAGAAAATAATAACAGAGCGAAGACTAATCGTAGAATAGTTGGAGAAGTCAAAGTGTTTTCTAGAGTTTTGAAAAATTGGAACCACTTATTTAGCACTTTTTAAAAATTAAATATTAAATATTTTATAATTAATAAGATTACATGTTAGACTTACTTAAGTTTATTTGTTGAAGACTAAAAGTCTCTAGAGCCTAGAAGATTACAGAGAATAACAGAGAATAACAGAGCTTAACATCAGATGGGACCTTTTTTCATTGGCTTCTTGAAATAATAATAGGACATTTGTTCTTAAGAGAGATGTTCTTGTAAAAAAAAAGGAAATAAATTATTAATAAAGCAACTGCTCAAGATGGCGAAAAAAATATGGAGTAGAATGAGGTTTGACTTGAAGAGTAGGAATAAAAGAAGGAATAAAAGCTTCTGAGATGTATATATATATATATATATATATATATATATATATATATATATATATATATATATATATATATATATATATATATATATATATATATATATATATATATATATATATCAAGCCTTCCCAGGAAGCGTGTGCGATCGCACAACTTGTTTGACCATGCTTAAAGTAATTTTTTTTAAGACAACGTGACCACGTTTTTATATAGTAAGTGTTTTTAAAATTTACAGCAAAGTGAAGCTATAAGAAACTAAAGAAAAAAACTAAATGAAATATAAAATCTAAATAAAATAAGCTGAAAAATAAAATATTAAAAAAAGAAAATTGTTGTTAAAAAAATTATAACTAAATATTTAACTTGTTTTTGTTTTCTTATTTTTAGGGCATTTATTATTTTCCACTCCAAAATTGATACAAGTAGAGGAAAAAAGATAAGAATATAACAAAAATAAAAGTATTTTTTGATATAAACTTTTTTCGATATAAACTTTTTTCGATATAAAATTTTTTTGATATAAAATTTTTTCGATATAAAATTTTTTCGATATAAATTTTTTTGATATAAAATTTTTGATATAAACTTTAGATACAGTTAGTATATTAAGAAAGTACTTTACAGTTTACGCAAGAAAAATGGATGATTTTTAAATTTGTTTTTCAAATGTTTTAGCTAAACTTTACTTTTTTATCAATGCACAGGAAAGCAAGAACGCTAATTGCTATTTAGTTGTAAAAATAATTTTTTTTTTTTTACAAGTTTTTCATGTAAAAAAATAAAAAGTTATTAATACTAATATTTAAATATAAAGTATTTGGTTGTTTTCAATACCCCCATTGAAATAGCCTGCACTTTTGTAGGATTATCCAAATTGTGCATTTAAACCCAATAGTTTATTTCTTGATAAACTATTGTTATTAACGATGCTCCAAAAGCTTTTGCGCTAGTGCATTGTTAATTTACTGAACTTTTTTAACGAAATATTTAGAAGTCTATTTAAAACTTTTTTTTAAGTTTTTAAATACATTTTTTTAAACAGAGCAATTGATGTGTTCATTATCTCTAGTAATTTGTATTAACATTGGAAATTGGGTAAATATATATTATAAAAAAAAATTTCATGCATGCTTTAAATGCAGTAAATATATTTATTAAAGAAACCATGTTATTCTTTTATTTATCTTATTCTGTCATTTCTAAATTTATTAATCAAACAATATATTTTACAAGTAGATAACATTTTATTTTTTTTATTTTCCTCTTATATAAGTATTGAGCAAGAAATGTCAAATATAGTAAAAACATTTTTAAAAGCAAAAAGACGTACAAAACAAATAGACATAAAAAAAATTAAGAAAATTAGGTCATGGGTCATGGGATCACAAAAAAGTCATAGGGTTATGACTTTTTTGTGATCCCATTTTCCTGGGTCATAAATTGATGACTACTTGTACTAATTAAATGAAGAAAATATTAATTTATTTGTTGAAAAGGTCACCCAAACCAAAAATTCGCTAAATATGCATATAATTTCAAACAGTTTTATGATCTCTATTTTTTAATTTTAATTTTTTAAATTGAAGTTATGTAGTTTTTAAGCATTTAACGGTTTATTGTTCTATCATACTCTAAATTACAAATAAGTATAAATTTACAAACTTAAATAACAAGTCTATATGTACAAAAAGCTACTGTATATAATGAAAAAATGTTGTGTAGTATTCAGCTTTATTAAAGCATAATTCTTATGCTTTGTTAGACTTAAATAAATCTAAACTGGAGGTTCTTTTTTTTTTTTACAGATGTCAAAAAGATCTTGAAGACGCTTGATTGTTTGTTCTACACTGATTTGTTTTGGGATTTTCCTGTTTTTATGATTCCTTATTCCAAAACTTTTTCACTGAGTTTAATACTTTTTCATGACTGTGCAAGCTGCTACATAGTTTCCGATAATCATCTACATTCTATATTTAGTCAGTAAATAAATTGTCTGCCCATCTGTAAGAGATGAATCTACAAATGTTGAGCAGTGAGTCTCTCTGGTAGAAAAATGCCAAAAGAACTAGTATTACTCAAGAATTCCATCTTGCATTATTTAATTAAGGTATTTTCTTAATCTTCACTTAAAGAAATGCTCCAGATTCTTCAAAAAAGCGGAATTCTCAAATTAAATTAAATAAAAATTTCATATTATTCTGCTGTTTCAGTACTCACTTTTTAACAATTCTTGAAGTTATTTCTGTTCGTAGTTCTTTACAATTGTTCGTAGTTCTTTACAATTTCCGAGATAAACGGATATTTGATTCGATTCTTTTTTCCAGTGTTTACATTTACTCTTACATAAATTTTTTTCATTGGGAATAGCTGTTATATTTTTAACAACAGAAAGAAATAGCTGTTATATTTTTAACAACAGTATCTGCTTTTCTGTCTGGTAGATCTAGCGTTTGTAACTTAAATTCTTTTTGTTTAGTCTTCAACACTAAAACTTAATTTTCTTGGTGACTAATACAATTATCATAGTGCAGTGACTAACTGTCTAAATGTAGTGTTTTCTTCATTTTTTCCTAAAGTTTAACAGTTACTTTAATAGTTGATCTGAATGTACTAGACTGTGAAGGTGTCTGAATGTTTATCTAATCTTGAGATAACTGTCGACAAATGGTTGCTGCTGTGTTGGTTTATAACTTTAAAGATTAATTAATTGGTTGCAGTTTTAGTTTAGCTGTATTTTTTGCTGGTACTTGTGGACTGTTTTTCTGAATCTTCAGAAGAACACTCCACAGTTGGCGTTATTGCTGTTGCTGTTGCTGCTGTTAAATTAGGCTTCTAAGACATTTATCTTCTTTTGGATGGACCTTTTGAACTAGTACTTTTCCTTGTTGTATACCCGATCTGTCCTTTGGTTTTAATCTGAAGATGATACAATCTATTGTCTTCACTGCAGAGCCATTCGCCATCTTTTTTTGTTGTGTCTTCAAACTTCATTCAATGGATTGTATTTTCTTTGTTTTACACATTTATCATGTCTTCATCACTTGATCCAGTTTTGCCTGTACGACTTGAACTGATAAATGTGGATAATTTAATTTCTTTTGCCATAAACTTGTTACTTCTTTCTCAATTTGCTTTATGCTTTCTTGTCTCAATTTGATGGATTCTCCTAGGAACAGATAGCAAACAGCAATTCGGATTTTGAGTATCCTGCTGTTATCTTCTAGTAATTGTTCTTATAGTGGAACAGTTCTTCTTTTCCTTTGTGACTTGTAAAATTGTACAAGATTTTTGATCCAGATCATCTTGTTTCTTTTAGTAGTCTAGACTACTAAAAGAAACAAGACTCCAGAAAATTGTAGAAAGTTTCAGAGATTTCTAAAAACATCCAGAACAGTCCAGAAAATTTAAGGTTTCATAAATTCCTAATGTTACTGTCTGCAAATACAACTTATATGCTATTTTGAATATTTCACGTTATAGGCAACCTTTTTTGAAAATTAATCAGAATAAAACCCTTTTCATTTTGCTTTAAAGCAAAAGTTTATCATTTTATGACAAAGGAAATTAATAATTTTACAAAAAGTCATAACCCTAATATATATATATATATATATATATATATATATATATATATATATATATATATATATATATATATATATATATATATATTATATATATATATATATATATATATATATATATATATATATTCAACTATAAAAAAATAACGCAAAATATACAGGCGTATATACTATTTCAAATGAAGAAAATTTTTATTGACTTTTATTATTAAATATTATATTTATATATATTTATATAGCTTGTTTTTTAATTTAACGATTAACTATAAAGAATGAACAACATATTTCAGACAAATACTAAGTCTTCCCATTTTAATATTGATTGTTTTTTCTGGTTTAGAAAAAGATCACCTCACATAGTATGTCATTTAAAAAGAAGCAAAAATTTATTTATCAAAATATGTTTCTTAAGAATGGTGAAATAAGTTTTCTTATATGTAAATTGATAAAAATGATGAAAAATGATGCCACTTAATTAAAAAGGAGTCAACTCTTTTTTTTTTCAAAAAATTAAACTCAAAAACATACAGCTTCCAAGCAATAAAAGCCGCCAAAAATAGCTAATTTTAAAGTAACAATATCTCAAAATTTCATTTGAAATCAGTACTGAAATTTTGCAAGGTATATCATTTAGATGACCATTTTTACTAAAGTATGAAGAAAGTCTGATATGGTGAGTTATAAACCTAGAAAGTTTGTTCCACTTTCTAATGGAACAAAGTTTTATTCCGCTTAGGGAATAAAATATAATCCTCCCCAATTTTTAATTTTATTTTTCATAGGTAGTGTTGATGATACTAAGTTATTTGAGAAATTTTAAACATAATTATTTTTTTTAGACTAACAGTCATGGCATTGATATCACTATCAATAATGTCTGCAAGTGTAGCTGTAGAGACAAGTCTCACTGTTGTGAGTACTTTTACTTATAAATTTTTTTATTTTTAATTGATTTTTGATGATCTTTGATTGTAGATGGTTACTAATAAAAATTAATGCAAATGTTATGCATGTGTGTATAAATATAAAAAACAAATTCTATAAATTATGTGCAACTGATTGTAACAGCAATCATAGCATCGAAATTTCAAATAATTTAATTTGAATAAAAAATGCTGCTTTAATGCAAACCAATTGCTTAGTATGCAAAAACATACATTTTATTATCTAGGTTGTATTCTTTAAAAGTGCTTATTAACTTCCTATATTAGACCTTAATAGAGTTTTCAATATCTCTATGTAACCCATATGTAAAGTAGGAATTTAATAAATCCAAAAAAATTTTAAAAAGAACTAAAAAACGGTAAAGCGTAATAAAACATCTTAATTATGAAAAACATCATAATTATGATAAAACATCTTAATTATGATAAAATATCTTGATTATGATAAAACACCTTAATTAGTAAGATAAAACATCTTACTAATGAAAAATGATGAAGCTATTTAAGTTTAATGTCACTAGTTTTAATAAAAAAGCAAGAGATGACCTCATTCAAAAATTTAAATTTGAGATAGGGTTTGATAAAATACAATGGCAGACAGCGCCAATTTATTTACCAGCAACAGTAATTATTTTGGTAGAAAACTAATAAAAAACTGCAATCCACAACAAAGTTAAGTTATGTAACAATAGAAAATTTTTCTATCAAGAAAAGAATAATTCTACGAAAGTATATTTATATAAGTATATTTTTTGTTTTGCATTAATTTGTTATTTGTGTTCGTATTTGTTCATGTTGGTAATAATTTTGCTTAGGGAGCATCAGACATGTGTGTAAATCCGAAAGAATCTTTACTTCAGTATGTTCGCAAGCAACCTGCAACAGGTTTTTATTTGAAACTTATTAAATTTGCAAACTTTTTAAATGTTGGAATGTTTATTAGTTGTTATTTGTGACTTTATGGTACAGTTATTTTTAACAAAGATATTATTTTAAAATATTTTAGCCATTGTTGAATATTATTATGAGTGCAAGAATTCTTCTACTGCTGCAGTATTCTACCAGGTTTTTCTGGATTTTTAATTACTATTAAATATATTAAATTGTTCCTTACAGAATGCAGAAAAAAGTAACAAATGTTAATGCTTGTTTTTATTAATTTTATAATTTTATTATTATTTTTAATATTAAATTATTATTTGAAAATAGTTTTTTGTATATTAATTTGAAACTTGAAATTACTAATGTTTTAAAATTAAATATTTTAAAATATCATTTTATACTTTTTTTCTTATTTTTCTTATTTTATACTTATTTTTCTTATACTTTTTAATATTATTCATACATATTACTTTTTTTGTTCTTTTATGTTGGATGATATATAATTATTTGTATTTATTAGGTATATAATGATGTGTTTGACTTTTTAAAAATTGCTAACCTGTTGGTTGAGAATGTTGAAAATGATCCTATTGTTAGATCTGTTGATGATGTCAAGGTAGGATACCCTAAAAATATTTGAAATATTATTTATTACTATCAGAAAATTTTCAAACAATTTACATTTAAATGGTTATAACATTAAAGTAATAAACACTCAACCTTGCTTAAAAAAATGCCAAAATAAGAAAATATTCATATTAAATATTAAAGATAAATCAACATAAAATATACCACTTGGGTTTGGAAAAAAATCATAGGTTTTAGAGAAGTATCCTAGAGTTTTGAGTTCATTTTTAATTAGGTTATTAGATAAATCTAACTTTATAGCAACCCTACCAAAGTTGATCAAAATTCATTCACTAAAAAATTTATCAAAATTTATTTTAAGAGTTTAATTTTTATATAAAACTATTTATGTAAAATTTAAAATTCTGAATTTGTTTTGATGAAATTTGAAATATGGTGATTAGTTTAGGTGTAGCTTATTTTAAAACAAAATTTAAAAAGCTTTAGTAACCTCTGCTTGTGGTGTTGGAGTATTTTTGTGGTGTTGGGATGCAAGTGGTTTGCTTTATTTATCTTTGTTTTATACAAAATTTTCTATAATTTTTACAAATATATATTATAGATTATTAAAAGAGTTGTATTATTATTGCTATTTAAATTATTAAATAATAAACTTTCTTATTAAAGTTTTCAAAATGGATTTAAGCTTATGTTTGGTCAAGTAGCATAGTCATAAGTAGCTTATGCTTTAAGAATTTAAGTCTATAAAGTTTTATGATTCAACAGGTGTATGATTTTATATTTTTTATTATTATTATTTTTTTCAAATAAAAATAAGTTTATCGTACCAAAAATTCTACTTTTTGAGTTAATGAGTTTATTATGCTGGTTAATTATGCGCTCTTTCAAAGAAACTGTAGCACCCATGCATTTCCAAAGGAAATCACTAGTATTTCTATAGCTTATAGAACTATTTGTAACTCCTCTAAGTTTTGATATATGTAGAACTTGATATTAAAAAACACCATGGACTATTTTTTTGATTATTTCTATAAAGCTTCAGATCAGGTCAGGTAGCTTCAACATTAGGTCAGGTTATCCTGCTACTAGTAACATGTAACCCAGTACAACCTGCTTCATGTCCTGCTGCCTCGTAGGATACTCTTTTTTAGGCTAAGGCTAGGAGAAGCCAACTCTGACTTAAAACATCCCCTGGCTTGGGGCTCTTTGTTGAGTAAAGGCTAGAGATAATACCTCGATAAAAATACTCATCTTGGACAGGTGTTAAACGCATCCGGCTACTATCTTGTAGAAGGCCTCTTAGGCAAAGACTTAAGGGGTAAACAGATTCTATCTGTTGACCAGTCTCGCACCCCTTCTTCATCTATTAGGCTGGTGCAGATGTATTTATGTGGTAGTGGTGTAGTGGTAAAACGCTCGCTTCATAAGTGAGAAGTTCCGAGTTCGATCCCCACCACGTCCCTGGTAGTACCACGCTCAACTTGTTTTTCCGCGCAGCGGCCTTGTTTGTCAGGGATCGTGTTTCGGAGTTATAGAGTTGAGAAAGGGTTATAACCAATATTAAGTAGCCTCCTCGTCTGTAGTGGCCTTCTCGGCCTTGAAGAGGTGAATAACAAAAAAAAAAAAAAAAAAAATTTACAATACATTGTTTCCAGTTTACGATGTTGAATGCTGAATCTTCTTGACTCAATGCATGGGTTTTGCTTTTGTCTTTGTTTTTATGACTAAGAACTTTTATAATGAGTGGGCATATGACTGGGCAACTCGTTCTATTATCTCCTAATGAGAGTACAGCTCAAAAACTTAGTTTTATGGTTCTGAGGCCGGCTGGTAGTCAGGTTTCCTGAACTCTGTGATAGCTCTCAGAGAAGCTGATTCCATCAACAGCTGTAAAATATCAGAGTACTAACAGTGCCATGTTGCGCATGGACGGTGTCCTTGTTATAAATAGTATATTATAATAATATTATAATAAATAATTATAAATAAGCATTTAATTTACATTGTATTGTCAAATAAAGCTCTTAAAAGTCTCTCTCAACTTTAAACTCTGATTAACAAACTTTGTTAAACTATATATACTATATGCAAAGTAATTTAAAACTCTAGCTACTTGCTAAACTTTCTCAAAATATAACAACAGTTTTTGGATACACTTTTTAAATCATTTAGAGCAGAAAGTTCTGTATAATACATTATTAAATTTATGCTAAAGTTTAATAATTAATCAAATAATTTATGCTAAAGTTTAATAATTAATCAAATAATTTAGAATGAGCTAGAGAAAAAAGACAAGCACTTTTACTAATCTTTATTAAGAATTTTGTTGTTGTTGTTGTTAATTTTATTTTAATATGTTCTAAGGTTATCACAACAAGCTATTAAGTCAATATATACTTTAGGGTATATGCAGAGAAACAAGTTGAGGGTCTATCAATACAAATCAAACATTAAAATCTTTTATATTGTTTACTTCAATAAAAAATATAAGTGATTTAAATTTTATTTAAATGTTTCAAACAAATTTATTAAAATATTTAAATATTTTAGACTATTGATAAATAACACATATTTCATACATAGACTCGTATTGATATCATTAAAACATCAATTTCAAGCAGCCAAGATGAGTTGCAGCAACTACTTGACATGTTAGATTGTCGCTACATTCACCAGGTAATTTAGTTTTTTTCCCCAGCTTTTATGTAATACAATTTTAAACTACAGTTCCATAGTACTAAGAAAGGAGTACTAAAAATGACAATTACTCTGCATTAAAAAGTTAAATCAATCACTTGCTGTTGTATGAAGATATTGTTAACAATTGACAATAATGTATTGGTTATAAAAATAGTAATAACACAAAAAGTTTGTTTGAGGTAGTTTTAGAAGAGCTAGATGAAAAAAAAGAAAAAAATACTAATAAAGTAGTGTGCAACCAATGGCTGAATAAAATTGTAATGCTGTTGTAAATTTATATAAAAATAATAAAATTGTAATACCCTTGTAAAATAAAGAAGTAGTTTTAAATGTTTTAAAGTTTTTGAAAAAGAAGAAATCAATAAAACATACTTCAATTGTAGACTTTTCCATTATATATATATATATATATATATATATATATATATATATATATATATATATATATATATATATATATATATATATATATATATATATATATATATATATATATATATATATATATATATATATATATATATATATATTTATATATATATATATATAAAATATATATATATATATATATATATATTTATATATATATATATAGACACACAGAGTAGACACACATATACATATATATATATATATATGTATAGACACAGAGTAGACACACATATACATATATATATATATATATATATATATATATATATATATATATATATATATATATATATATATATATATATATATATATATATATATATATTTATATATATATATAGACACACAGAGTAGACACACATATACATATACATATATATATATATATATATATATATATATATATATATATATATATATATATATATGTGTGTTTCTACTCTGTATATATCTATATATGTATATAGATTAATATATACAGAGATATATATGTATATATATAGATATATAGATATATATCTATATATGTATATATATGTATGTATACATCTATATATGTATGTATATATATGTACATATATATATACATATATATATACATATATATATATACAAATATACATATACATATACATATATATATATATATATATATATATATATATATATATTATATATATATATATATATATATATATATATATATATATATATATATATATATATATATATATATATATATATATATATTGAAAGTTTTTTATGTGTAAAGAAATACATTTTTTATGGGGATAAAAATGCTAGTTTTTTATATTTATTTGTGGAAAAAACGTATGGATTAAAACCAGCAATTTATTTTTATGTTAACTTTAGCAATTTAATAATGGACTCAATTCGATATGCACCACAGTTTTGTAAGAAAATTTTTTTGCGTTTTATTTCTTACATATTTTGTTATTTTTATTACTTTTGTACTTAATTTTGTTTTTTATTTTTGTTTTTATATAAGACAATTGGTTGTAAAAAACACTTCCATAATGTTGACCAAATAAGAATTTAATTATAATATTATGAAAACCTATCCAAATCGCATAGTTATAGAAACAACGACGTCAAACTAAAAAATATATATTTATATTTGTAATATATGTTTATTTTGTTTTGTCTAATACATATTTTTTTTATTGGTCAGAAGTGGACTTGGACTTTTGATGTTATCCGCCTTAATTATATCTTTTTTTCTCATGATTATGCTATTTTGTATTACCCCAATATGGAAAGCAATGGTCCCTCTCAGGTATTTTATTCTTGAAAAGTTTTTTAATTACTGTTTTTTTTTTTTTTTTTTTTTTTTGTTTTTGTTTTTATATAATATATTAAAAATATTTGTATGTCAGATTAGATTTTTATTAGCTTTTTTTAGACCGATATTAAAGAGAGAAAAATTTGGCGTTCACTTGGTCACTAAGAGTTATGAAGGACCCCCTGGAGGGTAAATTTTTATGATGCTTCTTTTTATCAAATATATTCCAATATGTTTAAAAAAAAAAATGAAACAGTTATAGATATATTTTATAAAAATATTCATTTACAAATAGTTCGTTTACATCTGGCAGTTTCCAAGGTGATTCATCTATTGATGCATCCTATAAAAGTATTGAAGACAGGGAGGAATTTGAGCACATACCTTTAATATCATCGAGAGATCGTCCTCCTTCTGTGAGTTTGCTGCATAAGTGCTACTTTAGAATTTTTAACATGTATGTGCTGTATGTCTATGTACATGTATGTGCTGTATGTCTATGTACATGTATTTGCTGTATGTCTATGTACATTTATTTGCTGTATGTATATGTACATGTATTTGCTGTATGTTTATGTACATGTATGTGCTGTGCTGTATGTATATGTTTAAGCCTGTTTACATGTGGTACTTTTAAAGTTGTTAAAGATAGTTGTTTTATTTATACAGTATTCTACAATTCATGGGTCCAGCGAATTCTTATCAGTAGAAGAAGAAGATGTTTTAAACAAGTATTCTGCATCACACATGAATCCATTCTGAATAATCAATTGATCACTTTTCGTACATTTCAATAAATCAATTAAATCAAACAACAATAGTATTTTTTAATAAAATCAACGCTAAATATATTATCAAGTTTTTTCATAACTTTTTTAAAAGTTATTTGTTCAAAAACGCGAAGCTGATAAAAGTGTCCTTTCTAAAGATATGTTTTTAAAAACAATGTAGATCTCTTTTTTAAATAAAGATTTTTTTTTAGAGATGTGGATGTTTTTTCGAAATCCAAATCTAATTTTTACATTTATAAATTGAAAATTATTAAAATCTTTATTTTTATTGTAAATATGGATAAAAAGATAAATTAAAATATTTTTGCTAACTTTATTAATAATAAATTTATTTATAGTTACCTTAATTTTTGTTGAAAGTTTAATCTGATGCTTTTTTATTTTTTTTTAGTAGTTTTTATATCAAATAGTTCAATATCAATAGTACTAAATATATATTTTGTAAAGTGGTGTTTAATCAATATTGAATATTTTTGTAGTTTTTATGAACAAATAATTTTTTTTCGTTTTTATGAACAAATAATTTTTTTTTTTTTTATATGTTTTTGTTATATAGTGGTAATTAAGTTTTATATTGTTGTTATTTATTTTTAACAAATTTGAGGTGATGAGATACTTAGTTAACGTTGTGTATATTTTGGTGTAGTGAGAGATTACCAAGGTCGTGACTATAGGTTTTTGCTTTATATTTATAGAATTTTATAAGGACGTGTCTCATTTTCTAATTTGCATTCTCAAATTCGAAATGGTCAAAATTCGTCAAATTCGAATTTTAGTCAAATTCAAATTAGTCAAATTTTGTCAAATTCAAATTTGTATTTTTCAAATTTATATTAAAATCCTCGAAATTTTTTATTTTATTTTAGTACACTCACCAGTACAGGCACGACCGTAGAGAGAGAGAAAGGGGAAGGTTCAGGGTACATTACTCTAAGACCCGTAAGACAAAGGGTCCTTAAGGAAAAAGAGGGAACAAAAGAAAAGAAAAAAAATTTCATTAAACAGTGCGTATGTTTTTAACTAAAGAGCCATCCATAAAGGACGTCACCATTTTTTAGGCAATTTTCGAACCCCCTTTCCTTTGTCACCGGTTGTCTTTTTTCGCTATACCCCCCTTGTAAAAGACGTCATAAAATCTTACCCCCCCCTCCTAATTTAACAAAAAAAAATTTTTTTAATCTCACATTATCTTCATAACAACACATGTTTACATAGTTTTCCATGTTAATAAAACTTAAATAAAAAATCAATTAAGTCCTTTTCTGACAACCCTCCCCCTCTCCCTTGTCCTTTTTGTCTTGACTCCTCCCCCTTCCTTTTTGGAAAACGTTCGTTATGGATGGCCCCTAAAGTAGGGGCCGCAGTTAAGTTTTCCCTGGGGTCCGTGTTGGCTGTCTGCAGCATTAATATAGGGCAAGGGTGAGTTTGATAACTCATCAAGAGTGGAGGGAGAAGGGAAGTTCTAACTGAGGAGCGACTAAATAAATGCAAGTTTTATAACTGCGAATCTACATAAGAGCTTACACTTGCAAACACTGGTATAAATGCACCAAAGGTATTTGGAAACACTGGCTTAATTTGGAATCAATTGTGAAAATAGGCATAAGTGCAAATCGGCATATGTGTGAAACGGTAAAATCGGTTATGTGTAAAACGACATGAGTGCTTCTTCAACCAACCAAACTAAAATATTTTAGTTTAGCTGGTTGAAGAAGACCCAGCCTTGGATTGAAGACTGACATCCAACTTTCTTTTATGTCCTTTACCTTTATTTAATTTAAAATGAATTTTGGCTGAACCTTTAACCAATAGTTCAGTTGTTTCAAGATGTTCCTCTACAGCATCCTCCTTTCTTTCATCCTCCTAAATCCTTGCGGAGATATTAACCTTTGGCAAGTTCATTTTATTTAGCAGGTAGTGTTTGAAAAATAAAAAGAATGTGGTATATTGTCAAAAGTTTTAAAAAAATAAGTTAAAATAGACTTACTTAACTCAGTTATTTGAACTTAGGAAATTGCCGTGCCCTTCTAAAAAATTAAACTATAAAACAAAGCTTGTTTTATTCATAAAAAATATACCTTCAAAATATTTTTACCTGAATACAAAGGTATTATCTGACACACTTGTCAATTAGAGGGTACTCCTGATGATGCCTTCACCACTATACTACATCGACATCAGCTGGATGAGAATCGGTTAAATTGAGGTACCTGTTCATTTCCAACTTCATGGGGCTAATGACTGCCTAAAACAGTGACTGGGTGGGCTGGCTAGACTGAAAAGACCTCATTTTAGCTCTGAAAACAAAAATAGATTATTAAAAAAAGAAACTTTATTAAACCTGAAAACATTCGAACTTTAAATTTAAGTTCCAGTTACCTAATCTTAGCCTCAATGCTGTAGTCTTCTTCATCAACTTCTTCAAAATTTCCGTAATTCAAGTCATGTACTAGCTCAACTTCATTCTCCTTTGTAAAATGGAGAATGAAGTTGAGCTAGTACTTTGTAAAATAGAGCTTGTTTTTGGTCCCACAAACCTGAAATCTTATTTCTAATTTTGACTGTAGATTTTTGCAGAATACTTTGGTCTCCTCGTTGATTGTTGGTTTGTTTAGTTGAGAATTTAGATAACCATCGATATTAAAAAGTTTTGACACCATATAGCAAATGGTTGGTTTTAAGTCAGAAGAAAAAAATAAAGACACCTCTTTAATCTTGGTGATTGGACCAATGATGGTAAAAAAATTATAAAAATTATTGACAAATATTATTTAAATTTTTATACGAACCAGGCCCCTACCTTTTTTAAAAATGGCCTAGGCAATTTAAAATTTTTGAGGACTTACACACACATGCACAAACTTACACACACACACACACACACACACACACACACACACACACACACACACACACACACACACACACACACACACACACACATATATATATATATATAATATATAAAACAAATGTATTATTCAAACTTGAAAATGAAAGTTTAAAGCAAATGAATTACCAGTTTCAATGTTTGAATCATCCTTACACTGATTGTTTATCCTTACACACTCTTTCTTGATCCTCTGTTAGTCAAAGCTGCTTTTATGAATTCTAGATGACAGTTTCCTGAATGCATCTACAGGATTTTTTACTTCGGGGATGCTGAGACACTTATTAACCACAAGGTTAAGTATATGGTCAATAAATCCAAAGCCTTCCTAAGTTTTCTCTGTTAGCTTTATGAATGCTAACATATTAGCTGCATTATCACTTGTGCAGTAGGGTGGGCTGAAAAAATTTTTTTTCTAACTTTTGACTCGCTATACCGTAAAAACCTTGTCTTTAGGGTACCTAAGGATAATGCGAAAAAAAAAAAAACTTTACGTCTAGAGCTTTTTAGTTCGCATATCTGTTTCAGAAGGAAGGCGCTTATTTTCAGCGTTGCCCTGGGCACCAGAAATCCAAGCTACGCCACTGTAAGTAGAGACATTTTAAGTAAAAAAAAGCATTAGAAAGGTAAATAAGAAAATTTATTTTTGAATTAAAAAACCATCTTTTTGACTAAAATTGGTTAATATAAAATTTTATTTTTATATGAAACCATCCAGGGACATATGATTTTAAAAGAAAAGAAACTAAGATTTTGTGCTCCTCTGTTGGGGTTTCAAGGCTCAAATACAATCGTAAAACGTTGTTTGCAGTTGTTAACCACCTTGAGTGTGAAATTGCTCCAAGTTCACGAACAGATAAATCTTCTGAACAACTGCCTGATTTAATAGCAGAACTTATATCCAACAAAAACTGCTGATATTTGCTTAAAATTTGCGGTCAATTTCTGGAACTTCACAATGGACACTGACAAGTTTTACCATTTGTAATTTTTCACACTTATTAAGCTGTGCGTCAATCAGACCGCTAAATAATTTTGGTCGTTTGGTCGGTTTACATATTTTTCAATTTTGGCAATAACACCGGATTTCCATCCCGTGTTAGTAACAGTGCCATCGCATCCGATTACGTCCAGTTCATGAAATAAAAATCCAGCTTCATTCAAATATTAAATAATGTTACTGGCAATTTTTTAGCAGACTCAGAAGATGGTGAAACATGACCAACGTACATGGAACTTGGTTCTTGTAAAACTGAGTAATATTCCTCTTTTATGGTTCGTATTAGGACCAAAGCTTTTTCCAGTTCTAAGAGTGGTTTTAATATAATTAGAGATTTCATTCCCTGTGACAGGATCAATAAAGAACGATTTAGAATTTGGAGAGTTGATATAGTCAGTAAATTTGGATGTTGAAGGTATGATTTTATTTTGAAGTTATAGGGACACTTAAGAAACAAATGCTAGTTGTGGATAAACTAATCATAGTTAACACTGTTTTTTATAAATTTCCTAAAATTCATTGATATAAGAAAATAAAAAAACAAAAAAAAAAAATTTCTTAAAATAAGTTATGACAACTAAAGTAACAAAACTCTAGACTAGCAAAACTTTTACATTTTGCAAGTAGGTGGGGCAAAACGGGACAGTTAAAAAGCATCAGTTATTCGTCAATTGCAAATTTTTAAAAATGATGAAAAATGAAGGCTATCTATTGCGTAAATATGTTCAGCCATTAAACTCTCAAAAAAGTAACATATTCATAGAAACTACACGCCCAAACATCCATACACCACAAAAAAGAAATAACCAATAAACAACAAAAAAGAAATAAAATAAAATATTTTTTTTGTGTGTTTTATTATAAAATACCTCCGCTCTACTCTAACCTTTAAATTATTAAATTGGTAACTGCTACTAAATTTTAAATGTTATTATCCATAAAATTTTTTAAACAAAAATTTTTATGGGTCATATAAATCACACAAAGAAAATCTTGAAATTGTTCGGCAACATTTTTGATGAGCTGGCTTATTAGCAATATAACAATGTAGAACAACCTTAAATACGCCATATGTATCAGCAGCTCTTTTAGTTCTAAGTTTCTGTTTACTCACACTAAAACTGAATTTCATCCCGTTTTGGATGATTGATCTTTCTTGTCTAATT